CGGAGTATGTAGTGTTGAACCTTTTATGAGTTGTCCATAGTCAAAGCCCATGTTTGAATATATTCCTTTTCCATGAGCATGCTCACCGGCTCCAATATCACTAGCGGCATCTTTGCTTGCTTCATTCTTGTCACTTGTATCATTTTTGCCACTTATTGCATCATCAACTTTCTTGCTAAATTCTTCCTTCATCTTACTCATCTCATCTTGCATCTTTTTCATTTCATCTTGAAATAGCTTGGCTTGAGCAGCCATCAACTCTTCAGCTATTTTCTTGGCCATCTCAGCGGCAACGGCTTGCATCTTGTTGGACTCCGACATTGTTTCTTCTCACGTGGTGAAACGCAAAGAGAAGACCTTGCTCTGATACCAATTGAAAGGATCTTACAATGCCTAGAGAGGGGGGGTGAATAGGCGTATCTAAAAATTATTGCAAATGCTAAGTTCAAGTCTGTCAGTCACTGTCGGAAGTCCCGACGTTTGGGTCAGAACTTCTGACGTTGTTAGAAGTTCCACAAGCAAACGCCGCTAGCTCCGACTCCTATGTGAACTACAAAAGCAGTGCCAAATTTAACTTTGCGGATAAATAAACTTACAACCTCACTTCCTAGTGATTTGGTGAAGATGTTGAGTTACTCCCTTGACGCCGTAATGCCTCCAAACGGTAGATCGAGTCCAAACCCTAAAATGGAAGTTTGGGAGAGAAAGAGACAAACACATACAAATAATCTCTAGCAATCACAACAACAAGCACACGGGACACAAGGATTTATCCCGAGGTTCTAAGCAACCCCACTAAGGAGCTCCTATGTCCTCGTTGTTGAGGTGACCACCAAGGTCGGAGTCTTTTCCACCTCCTTGTTTCTCTTAAAGCGACCACAAAGGTCACTTGAGCTTTCCACTAAGAAATCAAGGGTGATACAAACTTCCCAAGGCTCTTCCACAAGATGGAAGTTTAGGACAACGCTTAGCCGGCTAGGGCAAAGCCCCAAGAGTAATAGATGCAAAATTAACTTGATTTTGACGAAGAAATCAAGTGCTCAAACTTTCCAAAGTGATGCTCTCACTTAATCCACTCTCCTTTCACTCAAACCCTAAGGGAATCGAAGATTGGAGCAAAGGGGGAAGGAGAGGGGTGCTTTAGTTGCTTGGGAGCTATTGAGCACGAAGTGAGTCAACTGTGAAATGAGTCCATAATGGTTAGAAGTGAAGAGAGGAGTATTTATACTTCAAGTGAAAATCCAACCGTTCAGATCTACGTCGAAAGTTCCGACGCAGATCTCGGGACTTCCGACGATAACAGAAAACACTGTACACAAAGAGTCGGAAGTCGGTCAGCAGCAAGTCGTTGTCGGAACTCCAGCAAACGTCGGGACTTCCAACGTATGCGTGATAAACCAAACAACCAAAGACTGCAGATTTGGGACTCCGGCTTAGGTCAGTCGATGTCGGAACTCCCGTGAACGTCAGGACTTCCGACGCGTACAGCAATGAGCGAGCGATCGAGAAGCATAGGTGCCGGGACTCCTGGCTTAGGTCGGGACTTCCGACCGTCGGGAGTTTCGACTTACGTCGGGACTTCCGACACCGAAAGTCACAGAAAATTATTCTATGTGCTCGTGAAGTGCTAGAGTGACTCTCTTTTGAATTTATTTAAATGCTTGAGCACTCTATCTTCCTCAGACCAACTAAACTTGCGTCTCTCTTTATAGTGCAGCGGATCCTAAACTCAAAAACAAAATTAAAACCTTTGGAGATCGTTTTGAGTTCATCCGCCTTTACAACTTCAAGAATTGAGGGATACCATTTCATCTTTATCAACTCTTTGAATCTTTCATGGGACTAATAGCTGCAACATATCTCATTAAGATCACATTAATCTCTAATTTGGATGTCATCAATACACCAAAACCCACATAGGGGGCAAATGCACTTTCAGTTTGCCCTAGCCCCTCCGCATTGACAGGTAATCCGCAAGAACCTTCTCGATTGCATGTGGTTTTGCCGACTTCGATCCACCTCCACCCCCCCCCCGTCGACACCCGGATCCTCTCTTTCTGCCTTCGAGAGTATCATCTTCTCTATCAATCCTGCCACCGCATCCATCGTCGAGGGGTCAGGGTTCTCACGTTCAGGCACCTTTGCCGCCTCAAACCCTAAGAACCGACTGAAAAGGTGTATCTACACAGTCAACAGAGAAGGCTCGGCTTCATCACGGAGATGTTTACGTGCACACAATGGATGGATAGGGCGTGGACTCTAATTCATATCTTGTGGGAAGAGTAGAACAAGACCGAGGGAGGGAAGGAACCCTAACACACCGTGCCAAGAACCCTACTCAAGTCACCCTAGAGCGCCGAGACACACTATCAGATAATATAATTAACCTCATAAGAGCTATTTTTTAGCTAGCTAGTAATTAGAGCATCTCCAAGAGGGAAGCTATACTTGCTCTGTAGTTTATATTTGGCTATTTTCGGATCTGATGTTCTAAAATAACAAGCGATCTATCTCGGAATCCTCGCTCTCTACATAAAGCATGCCATCACGGCTCGCCATCCGCCTCCCCTGCGCTTCCCCCTACTTGGCTCATCCCGCGCGTGCGTGGAGACTTTTCCGCAAGTGGGATTCTCCCATGCTCGAATTGGCTGCCTTTGGTCAACTGTTTGCCTTGTATGGTGGCACCGTCGCAGAGCCCCTGCCGGCGTCAAGCTCAAGCTCAAGAGTCGAGAGACTTGACGGAGTAACAGTGGCACATTGGTCTTCACGAACCACTTGCTTATTGGGAACTACTAATTAATATGCTTGCGAATACATGCGTGTGGATCCTTTGAAGTAATATATGAGTTGTTTGGTGTTTCTTGTTTAATGGAGCACATTGCCAGAACAGTGCTACCGTCAAAGCGAAGGCGTCAAGCTAGAGAAGCCAAAGGGATCCACGGTCGACTATCGTAGGGATTGAATCTGGCTGCGCCTAGAACCAATCGTCTGTCAGCCTTTGCTTGGCTGGAGGCCGCAGATGTCCAACAAGGGCCGTCATGGCTGGGTGTTACGTGAGCAGGGCATAGTCGTAGGTTCGATCGTATTTGAGAAAACGGTGATGACATGGCTCTTTCAAAAATATAGCATGCCAAATTAGAAAGGCTCTTGGAGTTATCTATTTTTGGAGAGATTTTCTATTTTACAAAATACTAGCTAAATCATTAACTTAGCTGTTTATTATAAGGCAACATATCACGTGCAAACCATTTAACTTGTGTAAATTTGGAAACTATCAATCAGGACCACTGGATGCTGATTCAATGGATGGGACCAGGGGGCTTAAGCGCAAAAAAAAGGACGGCGGATGGGGGGCTTAAGCGCAAAAAAAATTACACCTTTTACCTCATTCATTGGATCAACATCTAATGATCTTGATTGGTAGTTTCTAAGTTTGTACAGATTAGTTGGTGAAAACCAAATTCTCATACTAGAAGCGATTCAATTGTGAATTCATAACAAGTAGTCTGCGATCAATAGTTCAGTTCATCGAGACAATGCCTAGTCAACAGTTTCGAGACCAAAGTGCACTAAAGCTGTGGAATGTGTTGCAGATGTTCAGTTGAGTAATCTTTTTTTTATAGAGGAATCTCCTTGCTTATGGTTTGCTGTCCTCGGGAATGGTATCTCCTTGAACAACGTAGCTGTGTCACATATATTCAGTTAATGGGATGGATTTTCTGCTTTCGGATGGTGTGATTTCAACGTAAGTAGAAATGACAGCTGTTTAGGTAACAGAAGACAATCAGCCTGTTCGGAAGGCCGTATCGTATCGTGGATTATTTACTGTTGGTTGATTTGGTGTGAAAAAAAAACACTATTCTCGGTTAAAATTTTACGATCGTTTACGAGCAAGCGAACAGGCTGAATACCTGCTTGAGGTATGATTCCGATCTTTGCGCAAGCAATAATATATGCTATGGCACTTTTTGGCACAGCTCCTCTTTAATGCCAGTTGGTGTGAGGGAGTTCGCTGGGGAAGTGAACTCTTGCAGTTGCTGCTCTGGGAGGAGGTTGAATCATGAGTCAAGATATCTATGTGCAGTAAAGATCAATAGGGCCTTATTTAGATTGCAAGTTTTTTCACTTTTTTTCGTCACATTAAATTTTTGGACACATGTATGGAGTATTAAATGTAGATAAAAAAATAACTAATTATACAGTTTGATTATAAATTACGAGACGAATCTTTTAAACATAGTTAGACCATAATTGGACAATAATTATCAAATACAAACGAAAATGCTACAGTGCCGAATACCGACTCTAACCCCAGTCTAAACAAGCCTAGGTTGAAATCAGATAACGTTGCCTTATTACAAACTCTCTTAGGCATCAATCCAGTCGGCAGAACACTTGCCGCACGAATCACAAAGCGCAATCCAACCGTTGGTACGTGCATACCTCCGCGGCTCTGCCCCGGACCTCAGGCTCTGAGCTTGCTCTCGCCGCCGCCGCCGCCGCTCTTGCGCCCGCCAGGCCACCGTTGCCCCCATGCCCGAGCCCGAGCCGCCTCGCTCTGCTCCAGCAAACCGCCAGCCGCTCCACGCCTGAGCCGCCGCCGCCCTAAGCTAGCAAGGCCCCCGCCGCCGCTGCCCGCCCCTCGGGGCCCGCCCTCGCTGCTTCTCGCAGTTTGGGGGCCGCCGTTGCTGCCCGCTCCTTGGAGGTTGTCACGGATCTGAGGCGAAGGGGACGAAGGGGGACGACGGGAGGGAGAAGGGACGGGCGAGGGAGAGAGAAGGGGATAGAGCAGAGCCGAGCGGAAGCGAATCGTCTTGCGCGGCCACCGCCGCCGCCGCCTCTCTGTCTCAGGTGATTGATGCAGATGCATATCCATCTCCTCGTCTTCCTCCGTGGATCGATCTGCTAGCTGTTTCAATGTAGCTAACCTCTTATTGTTTCTTTGACTGTTTCTTTTGTCCCACACTTACAGTGGCATCCTCGACCGGACGACCGGCGGAATGCTTCCGCAGAAAGCGCCCAAAAATGCGTCTGCCGCCGCCGCAGATCTGGTCGAAGGCCGCGACCATATCAGCAACCTCCCGGACGGCGTGCTGCAGCACATTCTCTCCTTCCTGCCGGCGCAGGACGTCGTGCGGACATGTCTGCTCGCCAAGCGCTGGCGCCACATGTGGGAGTCCACCACCGTCCTGCGCTTCGTGTGCGGCGGATTGAAGGAACCAGGGTCCGTAGAGGAGATTAAGGAGTTCGTGGACCATCTGCTGCGCCTGCGCATCCGCGGAGGCACGCCGCTCGACACCTGCGATTTCCGTTTCCATCTCGACGAGAATAAAGATTTCGACATGAGCCGAATCGTGCTTTGGATCCGTATATCTCTCCAGTGCAAAGTCCGGGTGCTCCAGTTCATCTTTGTGGGCGATAATTATCAGGACATTCTTCCTCAAGATGACCATCCCTTCTTTATCTCCCAATACCTGAAGAAGCTAGAGCTTGAAAATTTCAACGAAATGGTGCCCAGATTCCTTGACTTCTCCTGCTGCCCATTTTTGGAAGACCTTGAGATTGTTTACTGTGCCCTAGCGCGTCCTAAACTCATCTCGTCACAATCCCTCAAGCGTCTAACCATCAAGCGTGGTTATTTTTCTTATGAATGGCGCTTTGCCTATCCGTGTCCCGAATCTTGTTTCACTATGGCTTGAAGTCAGTGATGGCAGGACTCCATCGCTTCAGAGGATGCCATCCTTACTAACAGCAGTTGTCAAAATCCACGGTTATGATCTCAATACCGTTGACTCTGATTATGACAACAACCAAAGTATTCTCTTGCAAGGTTTATCGGAAGTTCAGAACTTGGTGCTAATATCTCCTGACACCGAAATGGTATTCTTACACACTGAGTCATAATGTTCATGCCTACAGCCTACATTTAGATTTACTGATGTTTCTTCGTTTGCATTGTCTAGTTTATTTTCAGAAGGGACTTAAAATTTTGCTCTAGTTTCAACAAATTGAAGTCTTTGCTACTTGATGAATACTGGTGCGAGCCTGCTGATTTCAGTGCCCTAGCTTGCCTCCTCAAACTTTCACCAGTGTTAGAAAAGCTCACTCTTCAACTATATTCAAAGGTATATAATTTCAAATGCAACTTCTGCGTTGTAGAAACTAGAACAAATTATAATTCAAATTTGTCGATTGGTCTTGCCAAAATCACTGTATTTACCACAGGGACCTAAACATAAAGTGGAGATTAAACTGAGCTGTAAACCATTGGAGATGTCAGCGGCAATATCACAACACTTCAAGACGCTTGAAATCAAATGTGAAGTATATGACGATAGAGTTCACAATGTTTTGATGTTTCTTAGCAAACAACTTAACATATGTAAGTTAACTGACATTACTGTTCACGTTTTCCTTATTAGTATGGTTCCAAATTATATGAATGGAAGTGTCTGGATTTAGCTGTACTGAGCAGTGATTCTATTAGCTCTTGTTCTCTGAACCATAGTGTGTCATCTTGCTTGTTGCTTATGAACGAAACACAAATGCTTGTTTTTTTTCTTGTCAATCATTTTACTTTTTCTTCATGACAATCATTTGGTACATTTTGTTTTCTTGTCTTATCATCACCCACCAGCTTAGAATGTTGTATTGCAGTAAAGTAGTTCAATCATATCATATCATTTTTTTTTGTTTCTGCCAACTAAATAAAAAGATGACCATTAGCTTTTTATGTGTGTATATAATAGATGAATAGTGTCATACCAGAATACAAAATTGTTTTTTTTAAAATGAGAACGTAACATTGATTTGATTTCCTTTGTTCAATGGGTGGCTTGTTTTTGTGCTAACATTTATGGCTGCATGTTCTTTTTGTTTTGGAAATTGGTAACACTTCCTCAGAATTTTTTCTGACACTTAAACAGCACAACCATTAGTTTTTGTGGTTGTTTTAAAATATAATAACACCATGTGTTTGTCAATATACAATACTATACAATTATGGTAAACATATTCATTTAAATGATTTTGACCAATTATTCTAAAACAATCTGTCAAGCCTCGAGACAAATTGTCTTTGTGTGGTTTGGTTATTTTCTTTTGTGCTGATCTTATTGCTGTACAAATATTGGTATCATCATTTCTATATGTTTATCATGTTTTTTTTATGCTCCTCAACTTATGGCATGACTTTGATATATGTGAAGGGTTTCAGTTCAGCAGATAGAAGGCTATGCATGAGGATGGACCTACTATCACTTAATTAAGTCAAGGTGAAGCTCAAATCAACTAAAGCAGCACAAGTATTAAGGATGACGTCTCTGTCTGTAATCAGGTAGCCGGCGTGGTACCACGTTATGTAGTTCAGGCTGCCTTCTTGCTTAATAGCTTGCTCAACCTAAATCTACCTCTTACCTGTCCATTTACTATATATTGATGTATCAGAAACCTAATAGCACATGTTTGCTTGCTATGTTGAACCAGCACTAAGGAACGAGCACTTATTTGAACTCTTGCTGGAACCTTGAAACTGTTACGAAGCAATCCGTTGGAGAAGCAAATGAACTAATAGAAATTGTCATCTTATCCCTAGTGATAAATCCTAGGGATGCAACCCACTAATTAGTGAGTAGGCAGGGCGTGTTTGGATCCCTTCTTATAAACTTAGAGCACTTTTAGCTCAATTTTGAGATCTAAAGCTCTAGTGTGAGGTGGGTTAAAGTAGAGCTAACTTTAGATCACTTGTTTGAAGACTTTAGCTCTAAAGTTTAGAGGAGCACTTTCTTCTCATTTGTTTGATCCCCACTAATTTGTACACTATGGGGCACCATAGGGGCTTGTCATCTTCATCCACTACCAAGAAACTCCCTGCACCAGCGGCTTGTTGATGTCCAGCTTCACTTTGATCTGCAGGTATTGGCCGACTGCCGAGCCGTCGTCCTCCAAATCCAAGTCCACAAAAACCCCCACCTCATTGCTGATTGCTTTCCCTGTCACCTTGTTCATCATCCGAAGTGGTATTCCCGAAGCCCTAAGCCAAATTGGGATGCACTCAAACTTATTGCCTTCTAGCCTTTTCTTCCCATCAAAATGAACCACAATGATTAGATCCTTCGTGAACACCACGACCCGTCCTCTGGCGCCCTTCTTTTTCCCATCGGCTGATGGGACGTGAATAGAAAGTGATTGGATTCGAGGTCCTTACCGTAGATGCCCCGGATCGGACACCAGACCTTCCTAGTGCTTGCCCAGCCCCTCCGTGTTGACAAGCTATCCGCCAGAACCTTCCCGATTGGTTTTGCTGACTTCGATCCACCATTCCACCTCCACTCCCCGTTGTCACTCGGATCCCTCTCCTTTCCGCCTTCAAGAGTTTCATCTTCTCCATCAATCCTACCACTGCATCCATTGTCGAGGGTTCAGGGTTCTCACGTTGAGGCAACTTCGCCACCCCAAACCCTAAGAACCGGTGGAAAAAGGTGTATCTACACAGTAAGCAGAGAAGGCTCAGCTCCGTCACGGAGACTTACATGGTCACAATGGATGGATGGGGCATGGATTCTAATTCAGATCTTGAGGGAAGATTAGAACATGAACGGGGGAGGGAAGGAACCCTACCACGACGCGCCAGGAACCCTACTCGAGTCGCTGTACAGCGCCGAGGCACGCTATCACATAATATACATGGCCTCATATCCTTAAATTAGTGTCGTTCAAACCTCCCTTCACTATCGGATTTGAACCGACACAACCAAGCCAGCAATGATGGGGTACACCTCATTGCCACAGTTTGATCACAATTTTCACCGCAAGTTCATTATCTATTTTTTGGAGGGGTTTTCTATTTTAAAAATATAGCTAAATCATTGATTTAGCTGTTTAATTTTACAAACTCTTGGAGTTGCTCTTAGGCATGAATCCAGTCGGCTCCACTGGCAGAACAGTTGACGCACGAATCACAAAGCGCAATCCAACCGTTGGTAGAAGGGGATACCTCCGCCCCGGACCTCGCAGCCGCCGCCGCCGCTCTTGCGCCCGCCGGGCCACCGTTGCCCCCATGCCCGAGCCCAATCTGCCTCGCTCTGCTCCAGCAAACCACTCGCCGCCCCACGCCTGAGCCGCCACCGCTCTAAGCTAGCAAGCCGCCCGCCGCCGCTGCTCGCCCCTTGTGGCCTTGTGGCCCGCCCTCGCTGCTTCTCGCAGTTTGGCAGTTTGGGGGACGCCGCCGCCGCTCCTCCCTTGGGGGGCGGCCTCTTGGAGGTTGTCACGGATCTGAGGAGGAGGGGACGAAGGGGGACGCGAGGGAGAAGGGACGGGCGAGGGAGAGAAGGGGATAGGGCAGAGCCGAGCAGAAGCGAATCATCTTGCACGGCTGCCGCCGCCTCTCTGTCTCAGGTGATTGATGCAGATGCATATCTATCTCCTCGTCTTCCTCCCCGTGGATCGATCTGCTAGCTGTTTCAATGCAGCTAACCTCTCGTGTTCTTTGACTGTTTCTTTTGTCCCACACCCACAGTGCCTGATGGCATCCTCGATCGAACGACCGGCAGGATGCTTCCGCGGAAAGCGCCCAAAATTGCGTCGGCCGCCGCCGCAGCTCCGGTCGAAGGCCGCGACCACATGAGCAACCTCCCGGACGGCGTGCTGCAGCACATACTCTCCTTCTTGCCGGCGCAGGACGTCGTGCGGACATGTGTGCTCGCCAAGCGCTGGCGCCACTTGTGGGAGTCCAGCACCGTCCTGCGTTTCGTGTGCGGCGGATTGAAGGAACCAGGGTTCGTAGACGAGATTCAGGAGTTCGTGGACCATCTGCTGCGCCTCCGCATCCACGGAGGCACACCGCTCGACACGTGCGAGTTCCGTCTCGACGAGTACTGTCGCACCGCCGCCATGGCTCGCTTTATCCTTTGGATCCATATAGCTCTCCAGTGCAAAGTCCGGGTGCTCCGGCTTAACTATTCGGGCCAATTTCCTTCTCTCGATGGCCATCCTTTCTTCATCTCCCAATACCTGAAGAAGCTAGAGCTTGAAGGACTTGACACATTGCCCAACAGATTGCTTGACTTCTCATGCTGCCCGAATTTGGAAGACCTTGAGGTTGATGACTGCAACCTAGGGGATCTCTTACTCATCTCGTCACAATCCCTAAAGCATCTAACCATCCAGTGTTGCTAATTTGGTGAAGAATGGCGCTTGCCTATCTGTGCCCCGAATCTGGTTTCACTATGGCTTGAAGTCCGTGATGTCAGGACTCCATCGCTTCAGAGGATGCCATCCTTACTAACAGCGGTTATCAAAATCCACGGTTATGATCTGGTTACCCTTGACTCTGATGATGACAGCAACCAAAGTATTCTCTTGCAAGGTCTATCGGAAGTTCAGAACTTGGTGCTGATATCTCATGACACTGACATGGTATCCTTACACACTTGAGTTGTAATGTTCATGCTTACATTTAAGTTTTATTGATGTTTCTTTGTTTGCAATTGTCTAGTTTATTTTCAGAAGGGACTTGAAATTTTGCTCTAGTTTCAACAAATTGAAGTCTTTGCTCCTCGACGAATACTGGTGTGAGCCTGCTGATTTCAGTGCCCTAGCTTGCCTCCTCAAACTTTTACTGGTGTTAGAGAAGCTCACTCTTCAACTATATTCAAGGGTATATAATTTCGAATGCTACTGCTGCGTTGTAGAAACTACAAAACGAAATATTATTGTAGTTTGTGGATTGATCTGGGTAAAATCATTATATTTACTACAGGGACCTAAACATGAAGTGGAGATTAAACTGAACTGCAAACCATTGGAGATGTCAGCTGCAATATCACAACGCCTTAAGACAGTCGAAGTCAAATATCAAGTGTATGATGAGAGAGTTCGCAATGTTTTGACGTTTCTTAGTAAACTTAACATATGTAAGTTAACTTACATCATTAGTGTCACGTTTTCCTTATTTTTACAGTATGGTTCCAAATTATATGAATGGAAGTGTCTGGATTTATAGTATTAGTTCTGAACCGTAGTGTCATCTTGCTTATTGATTATGAACGAAATACAAATGCTTGTTTTTTATTATTGTTCATCATTATACTTTTGCTTGGTGACAATCATTTGGTATATTTTGTTTCCTTGTCTTATCATCATGACCAGCTTAGAACGTTGTATTGCATTAAAGTAAGTTCAATCATATCATTTCATTTTTCTTCCTGCCAAATTCATAAAAAGATGACCATTAGCTTTTTATCTGAGTATGTAATAGATGAAATGTCATTCCAGAATACAAAATTGTTTTTAAAATGAGAATGTAACATTGATGTGATTTCCTTTTCTTACTGAGTGGCTAGCTTTTGTGCCAACATTTATTACTGCATGTTCCTTTTTGTTTTGAAATTGGTACCACTTCCTTAGGAATTTTCTGACACTTCAGAACAGCACAACCATTATTTTTTGTGGTTATTTTAAATATATAACAACATGTGTTGTGAATATATAATACTAATACAATTATTGTGTAGCATATTTATTTGAACGGTGATGACCTATTATTCTAAATAAATTGCTGTCAAGCCTCGAGACAAATTTGTCTTATTGTGCTGTTTGGTTATTTCCTTATGTGCAGAAGTCTATTCCTGTTTAAATATTGTTACCATTTGTATATGTTTCTCATGTATTTTTTCATGCTCCTCAACTTATGGCATGCCTTTGGTATATGTGAAGGGTTTCAGTTCAGCGGATAGAAGGCTATGCATGAGAATGGACCTACTATCACTTCATTAAGTCAAAGTTAAGCTCGATCAACTAAAGCAGGCACGAGTATCAAGGATGTTGTCTTTGTCCATAATCAGGTATCCGGTGTGGTACCACGCAATGCAGGCTCTCTTCTTGCTTAATTTCTTTCTCAAGCTAGATCTACTTGTACCTGTTCTTTTGCTATATATTGATGTATCAGAAACCTAATAGCACATGTTTGCTTGCTATGTTGAACCAGCGCCTAAGGAACGAGCACTTATGTTTCTCAAAGTGAGATTTTCTAGCCTGTCCATTGTTTCCTAGCATTTGCTGCGGTGGAGAAAATGTTCAGACGTCACTGCATTTTGGACATGTGAAACTATAGATCGCTGAAGTCAGTAAAGGCATTCTGAGTTTCCATGCTAGATAAATCCGAAATTTCTCATTGTCCAGATGTGTTGCTGAAGACGTTTGGTTAAATCGTTGTTCATTCTTTCACAAAAACAAGGGTTTGAAAATGTATCGTATTTCTTTTGCCATGGTGTTTGCATTGGTTTAAGGGATGTAGCTTCTAGATAAAGAATCGGAAAGCTAGCATGCAGTACTGTCCACGGCAAAAGAAATACGATACATTTTCAAACCCTTGTAACCACGTGGGTCTAATATTTACTCCTTCCTAACCCTAATAACCAGATTTTTTATATGTCCACGGATGTAACGACTTCTGGGTTTTAAAATGGGATGCTGCCCGACACTGAAACCTTGAAACGATATGGTGCATGTGCAGTTGTGCTAGCTCTGAGCTGAGTGAAATGTCGAAAGTAATCGCGCAATTGTTCCTCATCCCGCTGGATGCATGCGAACGAGTGTCGTGCGTATTTGAACTCTTGCTGGAAGCTTGAAACTGTTACGAAGCAATCCGTTGAAGAAGCAAATGTACCAACAGAAATTCAGTAATCTCATCCCCAGCGATAAATCATAGGGATCCAACCAACTAATTAGTGAGTAGGCTTAATGTTAACTGCGTTTACTATTCAGCATTGACCCGTGTACAACACCGGCATCCCGCATCCCTGAAGGGAATACATTGGTGTGGTTCTTGAGATGACAGTTCGCCATGTATAAATATGAATCGATCAATAAAGCAAATGCAGTTCAATCATTCTTGTGTTCAATCTTTGTCTCTTTACATTCAAGCTTTCGATGCTCAACATGTTATCAACATTGTCATTCACACTGTGTTCGCCTAAATTAGGAAGAACTCGCAAAAAACACAAAGAAGAGGGGGAAGAGCAGAGGAAAAACTCGACGACAGAGGTTCGAAGTCCTCTGCACCGCCAAGAAAGTTGGCGGATTTATTGCTACCAGCTCCACCAACATGGAAGCCGATGACTACAACTTAGGCCCCGTTTAGTTCCAAGCCAAAAACAAAAAATTTTCAAGATTCCCCATCACATCAAATCTTGCGGCACATGCATGGAGTACTGAATATAGACGAAAAAAAAACTAATTACATAGTTAGCCGAGAAATCGTGAGACGAATCTTTTAAGCCTAAATAGTTCATAATTGGACAATTTTTGCCAAATAAAAACGAAAATGCTACAGTAGCCAAAAGCCAAAAATTTTCAGAACTAAACGGGGCCTTACCTCTGCACCACCACCACGTGCTTCAACGGTGATCCCAACCACCAGGCCTTTGGGCCCCTTGGAACTGGATCCGACACCAAGCGCTCAAGCGCCAATGCCGAGGCACCTCCATTAACACCCCATTGGCGCCGAGGCACCTCCACGATGACGGTGGACGCACGTCCGTCCCGCACATTTTTCCTCGGGCGTGCGTCAGCACGGCACGGGAGGCAGCCGCTGCCGCACTGGCTCTCTTCGCGCACCGACTACCATCGGTAACATTGAAGCCTAACCCCCACCAGCCACCTCTGCATTTTATATAGGGCGTGGGCACCTCCCGCATGAGCTGGTTGGGCCAAAAGGCCTCGTGGGCTACAACCAAATTGGTTTGGTCTGACTGGCCTTACTAAAAAACTGAAATCATCTAGGCACCTAGTGAGTTTCGGTGATTAATGACTACACAAGATTATTATGACTAACGTGTGTTTTGCAGAGACAAATTAAGTTAGGTCGCAATAATGGTGATTGTTTAATGGCTCTCATGCCCCTGTCGATGGAATTCGTTTCGGTTTTCAAAGGATAGACGACAATGTTAAGGACGGACTAGTTTTAAGTGTCGTTTGACGTTGAGACACTTAGAATAGTTTACGGCTTTGTTTTTTCTTTGGCCATACTATAAAGATGGGTATGAACTAGTAGCTTGACCTAGGTGAGTCTAATATGTTAGTTGTGGTGCACACTTGTCAAAACTTAGCATTAGGTAGCTTAGGGACAGCCCAAAGATCAATTGGAGTCAACCTCATTCATAAAGGATTTTGATTTGAAAGTGAATAGAGGGTTGAATTTTGCATCGGACATTGATGAAAGGTGCATCCAACAAATGAACTTTTGTCCGATGCATGTTATGCCTGCGCAGCAAGGTTTCAGAACCATCGGACGCTGGCGCATGGAGGCATCGGATAAAACGGTCACACTGTTCATTTTAGTTTTTTATCCATAGGTGCATCGGACACTATGAACAGTGCCACATCAGACAAATTGCAGGTTTCTTCCGGTATCATCGAGAGAGAGAGGTTTCAGAGAGGGGAAATCTGCATCGGACAAGTCCGATGGGGGTGCATCGGACAGGGTTTGGCTCTCTAGCGCTCCAACAGCTATGTCTGACAGGTGACGTCACCTAGCCATTTATGTCACATCGGACAACGCCGGTTTGTCGATGCTGACACTGTAGCATCCGATGCGTTCGTTTTTTTTGTAGGAATGAGTTCCTAACGGCTAGTTTGGAAAGTGGGGGTATTTATATTTCTCCATCTCGTCTAATTCAATTCTCTTGCTCATTTGTTCAGCTGAGGCAACACTTTAGAGTTCGAGGGAGAGCAAGTGTCTAGTGGGGTGATTGAGATTTGATAATTCAAAATTAAGGACCTCATTAGTGCATAGGAGTAGCAAATGTGCATCCACCTTCCTCATTAGGCTTGTCATGGTCAAGTGAGAGTTTGTGCTTGTTACTCTTGGTGATCAGCATCACCTAGATGGCTTGGTGGTGATTGGGTGCTTGGTGGTCATCCGGTGGAGCTTGTGGATGACCCAACTCATCTTGTATGCGGTTGTGGGTGATTTACCGCGTCGGAGTGACAAAGAATCAGCCCGTAGAGAGCACTCGGTCCTTGCGCGAATCGAGGGGGAGCTACACCCTTGCGCGGGTGCTCCAACGAGGACTAGTGGAGAGTGTCGACTCTCCGATACTGTCATGACCCGATCATGACATGTTGATTTTCATACTCATCATGATCATCATATGCATTTTAATCTCAATTTGGAA